TTTTTATCAATTTTTTTGCGAATTTAATAACTTCTTTCAAAATTTTTCCATATTTAGAAATATTCTTTCTATTCTTACAGAAAATACATTTCTTATACAAAAACAGGAAATTATTCCATTTTATGATTATGTTCACTTGCAGAAAGGAATACGCAATAATTTATTGACAAAAGATTTAATCATTAACAAAGATGTAAAAAAAGTGAACAAGCAATTTGTATCGTGGGATGATATTGTAACTATATATGAAATGGACAAATATTCATTTTTAAGGCAGCGGCAAATGCCCAAACTTACTGATAAACATATTTTTCCTCATATAATTCCGAAAATGAAAGTTAAATATGCTACACAAGTGCTTAGTCACTCAGTGGCAAATTTTATAGATGTGGTGTTAACTTTTAAACAAGGTAAAATATATAACTTACTGAAAAATAACATATAATAATCTACTATTAAAAATAAATATTGTCATAAATCATGTATATAATATTCAAATATCGAATCATTTAAGGTAGTATGGATACAAAAAAGGGCAAGATACATTTATCAGACAACGCTATCGCAACTTCAGAAACAATATTATTTTTTGACGAGCTTTTCGATTCTTTCAATGGGAAAAAAGGACAAGGACTTTCCAGTATTATAACTAATACGAGTAATCATATCAATTTTTGGAAAGAAGCATACAACAAACTTCGCAAAATGGAATTTGTCGAAAAGAAAACTCATAAAGTTATTAGAAGAAATTCGCCAAAATGTTTAGTAAATTGGATATGGACCATTCAAAGCGCAAATTATTTATGGGATATACTCCGAACATCGGGATTTTCATCATTTAATTTAAAACACATTAATCAAGATGTGTTGGAAAATTGCTTTGGTCAAATAAGAGATAACGGGCATAGAAATATTAATCCATCACCTTTCCAATTTTCCGCTGCATTTAAAACGCTTGTAACTACAAATTTGACATCTAATCATTCTTTATCATCAAATTGTGAAGAAAATAACGAAGGCACATCGTTAGCACTGCTACAATTATGTCGTGTTAACGATATTGCAAGAGAATCGGAACAAGATGATACTGATATTGAATGCGCTGAAGCGGCTATACCGAATGTACCTGCTGAAACGATGTTTGTGGATGCACAAAAGATAATATTTATCATTGAGAAAGACAAATCTGTAAAGGAATGTGAGGAATGTTTTAAGATCGTAAAACATAATATTTTGGGAAGTATTCAAAGTATGTTAGATCTTGCAGAATTAAAGTTTCCTGAATTTTGCCACGAGATAAAAGTAAAAGAAAAATTGGAAAATATTTTAAGTGAAGCATTTTCGACGTCCATGATGCATTGCTTCACTGTACGAAGTATTATCGTAGAAGTAACAGCAAAACAATTTATTTTACAATGGTGTACGTTTATAAACAAAATACTGAAGGGAAAAATACAAGAATGTGATACCTCTTTTATTTATAACCAGGCTAAAAGGATGTATTTGAAATATAAAAGAAAATAAATTCAGTTCTACATTTTAAGGTAAAAATATTATTAAAAGTTTTACATTTTATACATATTTTATATTTTAAAATTTTATAAAAATAATTTTAAAAATTCCATTTTCTATTTCTTTTACAGTTTGCACGATATTGTTTCTGGATTAAAGTTCGGAATTAAAGTTTTCCTTTCTGTACCCATATTTTGTTTGGTTCATAAATCGAGAATTATAAGTATTCTGGATCTTGCACCTCTCGGGCTTGGTAAGTTTGATGTAATATTTCTTGAAAGATTAAAAATAGATATATTTTATTCTCTTTACATATATTTACTTATTTTCTTTTACAGCATTTTACAGTTTGCACGATATTGTTTCTGGAGTTCGGAATTAAAGTTTTCCTTTCTGTACCCATATTTTGTTTGATTACTATAAAGAAGGGAGGTTTGTTCGGTTTAGAACATTTGCAAAAGCTGACTCTGTCACACAATCGGATCTCCACGATCGAGCCGTATGAGATATGTGCAGAGAGATGATAAAGCTGTTAGTATTGTTTTCATAATTGCCCGAGATAATTTATCACCTCTGTGTCGCAAATATTACTATTAAATGGTTCGTATGATTGTAAATTTTTATCTTTATTTCAGAGACTTGTCACACAATGAATTGACCTCTATAGATCGGGGCTCGTTCGAATATCTCACGAAGGTCGAGAAGATTAAGTTAGATAATAATTGCATACGTCTCGGATGGAGCGTTTAATTTTACAACAAACCTTCATATCCTGTATGTGTAATATAAGTGTTATTTAATGTTTGCTCCCGTGTTACTGTGTTACAAATGGTATCTTGCTTTTAAGGGAACTTAATTCGGACAAGATATCCTATATGATAGAGGATATCAGCGGCGCGTTCTCTCCGCTCAGTCAGTTGTGGAAATTGGATTTAGCGCACAACAGAATAAAATCCATAAATGAAAACTTGGTTGCTTTTGCCGGTCTGAGTCACCTTGTCGAGTTTGACTTATTCAGGAACAACGTTACGTCTATTCAAGAAAATGCGTTCCTCTTAATGTCTAATCTGAGCAAATTTAAGATGAACACCGGTAGGTTTAAAGTTGTACATTATACATGACATTTTATTTTTGCTATCTTCTGTTATTATTAATTATCTTGCTTATTTACACACAGGAGCTTTGGTTTGCAACTGTGGACTTCAATGGCTAAGCATGTGGTTGCGAAAACATCCTTACATTATATCTTCACGTTTATTAGAGGAGGTCGTGGTGAGCTCTATCAATAACGAGGAAGAAACGGGAACTCTAAACGTCAACGATCCTCTCTTGCATTACACGAATCATGACATGCGAGTGAAAATACTAATAACGCAATCTGAAAGGGAAACGCGGGCCGACGCGTGAGTAAGCGGAGTTAACGCGTCGCGTTTCCGCAACGTGAGTATTCGTGTATTTCATTGTATGGCATAGTTACTGTGAAAACAATTGTTAAAGATAAGGATAGTTTTTGGGCCGTTATTGTGAAATGATCCCTTAAGTCGACATAAGAAACATCGAACGGTGTGAAATGTAAATAACTAGACTAAGATTATATTATAAAGCTAGTATATTATTACCAGCGCGTATCACTCATTCGGCGTCTCTGGGAAATGCTCGTATATTTCTATTTTCCTGATGATTTTCGGACACGCAGTATTCAGGCAAGCAGGAAATTCTGCCATTTTTTCTGTTATATTCCCCGTTTCCTATTTTCTTTTATACTTGTTTCTTTTTCCAGCAGTATTCTCAAAACTGTCAAAGTTTAGTCAATTGTGAATTATATAAATCTTAGAGTTTTAATATAATATATGTAAATGTTTGTGAACAATATACGAATATTATTCTGAAGTGATCAAGTTCTGGGAAACATATACAGGATGTTATAAAAGTCTGGAAACGGTCAAGTATCTCGA